ATTTTTATCACCAATGCCAGTAAATGCACAGGCATGCACGGAGGTCGTATCTCTCCGTGGCCCTGCCTGGATTCGACCGAGAGCCTGGTCCACGGAGGTAATCCGCTCCGCGATGACCTGGCAGAAGACAGGCTCTCACCTCTGTCTGCTATGGTCGCTCCTGGCTGTGTGGTGTGAAGCTGCGGATGTTTTCAGCACGAGTCACTTTCATCGATGTCGTTCTGGCGTGCCTGTGCATCCTGTTCAAAAGAGAAGCATCTATCACACTTCTTAATTAAATTTGAAGGCAACTTTGAGTTCCTACAAAATTCATTTAGTCCAAAGGGCCACCCACACCTTGTCTTCCATCGGGAAGGAGGGTGTCCGAGTCCATCTACCGCGGCTTTATGCCAAGTGCCAGTGATGGTGTTCTTGATGAATTCGGCAGGTTTGTCAAGCAATTGAAGCTTAACTTGTTCTAACTCACTTTGAACCAAACGACGAGTGAATTCGTCCAGAACTTGAAGTCGGTTTTCGATGACTGTCATGCGGTCGGTCACGGAATTGTCCCTTCTAGGTCTCTCGCCTTGGTCATTTCGCAAATCTTGCATCTGCTGCCTCAGTTGGTCCAATGCGGCCGTGATGCTGTTGCGATGGATCGCGTTCTCATACTCCTGAGTGACCTTAGTGAGTGGCGCTGCCCTGGCGTAGTGTAGGAGCATAGGGCTGTTCCATCTTGCCATCAGTTCGACCTGATATACATGTAGACCAGCCGCCGTCAGCAGTCTTGCGCCTGCCAATCTTAGGCTGTGTCCTCCGAGGAGATTGGTCCCATCCTCGTCCACGATGTCCAAACCTGCTCGTTCATGCATATATTCTAAGGTCTCCACTACTCTGGCCTTCTCCACCGTGTTCCCCGAACGTGTTGGGAAGAAGGGCATATGGTTAAGGTTCAAGTGGCCTCTGAATCCGGAGCAAGTTCTCTTTCTGGTTGATGGCAGTATGGTAGGGGCATCCCTCCTTCTGGTGAGTTGCACAAACACATCCCCATGAGCGGTCCACAGCCGCAGCGGCTGGGTCAGTCTTGCTGCTTGGTAGCTTCAGCGTAACCATCTGGCCATGAGTGTCAATCATGACATTCCCGTACAACAACATGGACGCCTCAGCTTCTCTCAGCATGAAGAACACACCGATCACCGCCAGATTGTGGGCTCCGCACGGCCCATCCTCGACCACGGGATTGGGTCCCAGTGGGTCGGTTTTCTGAAGCGCAATGATCTTCTCAATGTCGAGTGGCATCCGCTGCGTGACCGGTCCTATGCCTCGAGTCATGCTTCTCGTGGTTAGTCTCGCCTCGAGACTCAGTTCAGGTCCCCATGTGCCATACATAGATATGTGAGTTTCTTTAGCCTTCGCCAGGTAGTTGGCGTAGGAGCGGTACCCCAGGGCCTTGAAGGCCGCTGCCACCTTCGTCATCTTGTCTGGTGTGAGTGGGAACACGGGCACTGTCGATCCAAGCATTCTTGTGCGCATGCGTTCCCAGGTCTTCAGCAAGGAGGCGCTGGGCCCCTTTGCGCTGGCGGCTACATAGTCCCTCTGCAGGTCCTCCAAAGCTTTGGTTCGCTGTTCCTCCGTCCAAGGAGCATCCGACGGAAGTGCTCTTGCCCTCCGTGTGTAGTTACAAACCGGGGTGTCTCTCCGCGGAGCAAGCCAAGGTCTTTGGAGGCAGAGGGTTGTTCTGCTTCCTTGATCGCCCTGGTGTGAGTCACTGACCCCGTGTCCGTCCGGCTTCCCGAACTCGTGGGCTCTGTCACGACGATCTCTCCTGAGCTGGGTGTGCTCAGATTATGTATGGCTGTCAGAGAAATGACTGGTAAGCCGGGAGGGAGCCTTCTGCGTTTCGTCATTTGAGCCACTGTTGTACGACGTATGACTCCAACCAATCAGGATGCGGCTGCTCAATTTCAACCAACGCAGCACACAGCTCTAGAATTCAGAGGTTTATGAAATCGTGCGTTCCATTCAAACTGCAGGCATCGCCTCGTGGCGCCGCGCCCCCACCTTGTAGTGGTTGTCCTGCTCCTGAGATGGGCGGAGAGAGTGTCGAGGGGACGTAGACGTGTGTGGGTATATATTTTATGAGGTTATACCGCAGCAGGCCGGAAGGGGGGATGCGAGCGGTTGCCCTCGCTCCAACTGGTGCCATGGGCGGTTGCCCTCGCCCACCAACAACGGATATTGAGCGGTTGCCCACGCTCAGTTCACCAACCTAGTGACTTGCAGAACGGAACCACGTTCAGATGCTCTCGGTTTTGTGCGACTCAAGGGTCATTGCCCGTCTGTGAAACCGTGTCATGATCTGGGTGCCCAATTGTCGCCCTCTGCTGTGCGGCAACCAGGGTCATGTAGTAACTGCGATCCCGCTCCTGACACTGTTCTTGACGGCAGCGTTGCAGAATCGCTGGCACTTCATAGTGTTTGCCAGGTTGGTGTATTCTGCTGAGACAGTCAGCGATGTCGTTTGCTATGCCAGGGATATGCTGAAACATTCGTGGTTTGTATGCCGAGTTGCCAAACTCGAGTGCCACTTCCCTGGCAATGAGGTTCAGTCCGTGTGACCCCACTCGGGTGCGAAGCTTCATCAGCAGCGTGAGGCCAGTCACACTGTCGGACCTCATCTGAAGATTGATGCCGCATTGGCGCCAATAGTGTCTCCACAGTCGTAGAGCTACCAACATGGCCAATGCTTCTGCGATCTGTTGCCCATCTGGGCTGCCGATTTGTAGATGCAAGAGGCTTTCATCGGCCTTGGTCATGGCTGAGGTAAAGTACGCCACGCAGGCTCCATTGATCGTCAGTACTCCGCCAATACCCCAGGGGCTTGCATCAGTGATGATGCGCAGATCAAGACCCTGGCCCAGATAAGCTTGCAGGCGGTATATGCGTTGGAACCGTTGGATGGAGTACGCTTCGTTGGCGAAGAAGGCCAGCAGCCAAAGGGTGACTGGCCGCCATTGTTTGTTCCAAAGGCAGCCCGGTGGAGCCCGTGATGGGCCCTTTGCATGTATTACGCCGTAGAGGTCCGTCATGAACGGTCTGACCACTTCAACTAGTCCAGCGATGTGGTTGAGCTTCCCAACGCAGGTTAACATTGACTTGTAGGAGGTCACGTTGGTGCGGGCATGTTCCTCTGTCATATCAGCAACCTCTCGTACAATGTCAGGCTTTGCTTTGACCCGGACTTTGGGATCTTTAGTCTCAAGATCGTGCAACGACAGCTCGGCTCCTATCCAGGTGACTGCGCTCCCTCTTGCAGCCTTTCTATAGGCCAGCCTGACTCCCAATACAGCCCACAAGACAATGGTTGCTGCCATGGCTCTGTTGCGTTGTGTTGCCGTGCCTGCAACGGTGATAATGGGATCATCGACGTACAACTGAAGCCGATAGCGAAGCACGCCAAAAATGCCTTGTGTCATCCTGGCCAGCAAGGCGGCGACTCGTCCGCAGATCAGGGGAGCGTTAACTGATCCCTGGGCTTGCGTGACATATGCCACATATCGCCCGCCATGGGACAAGGTGAAATGTTTGCGCTCTGTCGGGTGCAGTGGGACGTTGAAGAACCAATCAGTGAAGTCTAAAATCAACCATTCGATTGTGGCCTCCGGTTCGTCCTTGCAATTTTCCAACAGTTTGAGCGCATCCTCAACCACGTCTGTCGCTCGGGGTAGGATGAGCCTGTGTGACTTCTTGGCTCTACCGTTGACCCCGGATTCCTTGCAATCCAAAATCAGCCTTCTCTTGACCTTGCCGTCTCTGACCTTTGTGATCATGCCCAACTTCGACAAGTGAGGATCGCCACCAAGCCATGTCCTGAATTCAGGCAGACTGTCAAAGGCACGGACGAATCCCGTGCTAATCAATCTGTTGACCTCGGGCCCGGCAGCTTCATCGTTGTCCACTGAAGTATAATTTCTGTGTGTAGTTGGCTCCGGAAGCGATGCAGTCAACGGTTCAGTCCCATCCAGATCATAGGGTGGGAACACCTCACCCGGATCCTCGATAGGTTTGTCTATTCCTGCAGGCGCTCCCTCGGTGAGCCAAGTGTAAACCGTGTCTGCATCCGGGTCACCAAAAGCTCTTGCCATTGTCCAAATCAGTCCCGCGTCCAACTTTGTATCGAGTCCCGGTTTGAGTACGAACTGTTGACCAGTGTCTAGGGACATCATGAGTGTGTCCCGTAGTTCGGATAACTGCCAACTGTCTGGTCCAGCGTCCGGTCGATCCGAACCGATGGCTTGCAAGCAGCTTTGCTCCACTTCTGGTCTATCGTCCAGGAACTTGTTGAGAATCATGTGGACCTGGGAGTTCAAGGGAAATCTTCTTGGGGTTTCTCATGCCACCCCAACACTTCACGTCTTCATCTTCTTTGGACGGTGGCCTCGTCCTGGTGCCTCTTGAAGGTGCAGTGAAGCTGACCCGTTGTGTCACGGTTTGTTCAATGTCCAGTTTGCGTCTCTTTCGAGTGAGGACATTGGACCATCTCCCCACCTTTATCATCTCTGCAGGTGCGGTCTGTCCCTGGCGGCTTTCAGAGGCCTTGTTCCAGCTCGCAATGATGACTTCCGCAAACTCCTTGTTCAGGTTGGCTGGGTAGGCTTGCGCGGCCTTCGTCAGATATGGGAGCTGTTTGTCGCGAGCTCTAATCTGCTGTGGCGACATCAACAACGACTTATCCCAATCTTCCGCCAGTATGAACCACTCCTTGCCTTTGAGCGGTGGGTGTGAGGACCTGACCCTCTCGCCAGTGCTAGGCTTGATCCAAATCTGCTTTGGGTGTTCGCATTCATGTCTCCACTTCCAGCCAACAATGTTGTTGAGCATCAACGTAGTGGGCTTTGTTGTAGTCGCCCCATATTGGCATTGTACAATGTCTTGGAATTCAACTGCTGGCTGTTTCAACAAGGCTTCAAACTCATCCAACTTGTACATGCTCACCTCATCAGCATGGACTGCTCCCACTTTGGTTGTTCAACGATGCTCGGTCGTCCCAGTGTGTTGAATTCCAACGTGGCTTCTGCAGTTCTCTGCGCCAGCAAGGTTCCTGTCTTCACTTGCTGCTGTTCAGCCAATGTAAGGTCACTCAAACCATAACGATCAGCTCCATGCGGTCCTCTCAAAGGGCGAGGACCTTGACCATCTTTTCTCCTGGCCTTTGAGTAGGTGTTGCATGGGGGCCCCGCTAGCATTCCGACATATTTGCCAGTCCGGATATCTGACATGACGTTGGCCCAGACAATGTCGCTTGTCAAATCGAACTGTTGTCCATTTTCAATGTCAAATTCCTTGCAGGTGTAGCCTCGCCTCAAAGCAAAAGCAGCAAACCCGTCCGTACGATTGCACGGTCCGCTAAACAAATGCAAGATACAAGGTTTGTCGTTGCGCTCTTCCATGCTCTCCGCAGCCTCGCCAGTGGTGGTCCCAGCGGTGGTGCAGTTTGTGTCATTAGCTTTGGTATTGCCGTAGTTCAGACCAGGGTTGAACGTCCCAGTCTTCAAAGGCGGCTTCGAATTCTCATGCAATTTGTCCTGCTCTGAATCTCACTTACCTTTGTTGCCCTTGCCCTTGCCTTTCCTGTGAAACTGGCGAGGGGGTTTGGGCGCGTCGGCATTGCACTTGTTGGCTCCATGACTATCTGAGAGACACTTGGCGCATTGATGGCGTCGATGTGGATTCCTCTTGCAGTTTCCACGGGCATCTTTCTCCATGCACTCACCTGTCTGAAAGAGGCGACAGAGTTCAACGCCCCTGCGGTTGTGAGAAAACAATCCATCGTCACCCAGCTTGTGTTCTCTGATGTCGGGTCTTCTCTGTCCCTTAGGTGGACGGTCTGCCTCGTCCTGGTTGCGTCGTGGAGGCGCTGCCGTGCTGGAGGACGCCGTGCCACTTTTCTCAATCGGTGCGTCCTCCGCGATCAAGTATAACATGCATGGCTCAGTGACTTCACGATTCCAAAAGTTCACGTCGCGAATGATCTCGTCGAAGACCCACTCCCATGGCTTCCTAGGATCGAAAGAGCATGGGAGGCTTGCTGCTGCTGCTGCCTTATCTGCTGCTTCTTGTCCTCGTCGGCGAATTCTCTCCAACTGTTCCAAGCGTGCCCGTACGTCAGCCTGGTAGATGATGGGCCAACAGCTCTTTCCATACCTCTCTGAGTACCTACGGATGAGTTTCTCGTAGGCATCTAACCGAGCTGGCGTGATCTCTTCTAACATGATTGCACCAGTCCTGAACACTGCATAGCATTCCCGCCAAGCTTCGTAGTCTGTGGGGCCGTACATCTCCACAGGCTGAATTTCGCCATTGGCAGCGAAGCGCATTCCTCTCATCTTCATTTTCTTCTGGAGTCTGTGTTGATAGGGGCCCCAAATGGCCATGTCGGTGTATGGTGTTCTTCCGGACTTGAACAGGTTGCGCAGCGTCGAAAGCTGGTCAGCGCTCAGCTCCTCATCCTCCGGGGGGAAGCCACCAACTTTGTCAGCGTAGGCCCGGTATGCCCTCTGTATTGCAGGTGCATCAAGCGGTTCAATCTCTTGATCATCTCTCTGGTTGATCACTTGGGCCATTTTGATCCTTCTGCCAGCTGCAGGCGCCGGTGTGGGCGGTGCAGTAGGTGCAGCTTTTGCACTGGCCGCTGAGGTCTCCACACCACAAACGAACCTGCATGTCCTGACAAATAATCTAGCTTGACCAGCCTGAGCTACCGTGGGCGCTGATGAAGTCGTTGCAGGGTGCGGATCTGGAATCTGCCATCGAGCAAGCACTGCAGAAACATCTGTTGCTGGGAACAATGCCAAGATCCGAGGAGGTTCACTCCCGTCGACTCCCAAAAGGTCAAAGAGACTGCCGCGAGGTGACCGAACATCGTCCTTTGCTCCAGACAACCCAGCCCAATGCGCAATGCTGTCCAGGTTAGTCAATCCAGGAACTGTCGCGGCGTCTGGGTCCATGACCTAGAAGGGAAACTCGTCGTCCTTGTGGTAGGAGCTTGGTCTTGATGGTGCCCGATGGTGCCAGATCGCAGCAACAGATGCAAAGGCTCGTCAGGAGCACGGACAGACCCACACGACCAAGAGCCAAGTCACCAGTGCCCACGGAAATGAGGGGCGGTCGACATGCTCGGGAAAGACAGATACCCCTCACACTTGAGCCAAAATGGACAAGTGTGAAGGGATGAACCACCACCCGCCTCGAGAGCGATTCACTTGTTGCATACACACTGCGTGTTTTCTCCGGAAAACGAGGTGATGGTGCTGGAAAACACTGGCATGCTGGTGAGGAAGACACCCGGGGAGGTGAAGGTCACTGGTGGCGTCTGGCGTCTACATCGAGATTATCCCAGGCAAGCTACTATGCGGTCGTAAGGCACCATGCGGGAGAAGAAAGGCAAGAATCGTTGGGTGTGGGAACTTTGGTACACCTGACGAGGCAGTGACAACCTCAACCGGAGGGATCGATGCAGTGGCACTGAGGGCGTTGATGAATTGCGATGGTGGCTGGGTGTCCTATCCTGTGGAGTTCTGCACGGCAACCATCACAGGTTCAACAGCTGAAGCGGAGCTGGTGGCAACACTCCTTGAGGCCTTGGGCATGGAGGGTGTGAGGAGATCGTTGTACGGCGACAACAAGAGCGCACTGGCACTATGCCAGGGTGATGTTGGTGCCTGGAGAACTCGGCACCTTCGTCTTCGCGCAGCAGGACTGAGAGCAGCTGTGGGGTGTGAAGTGAGTGGCTGGCACACGCACCATGTGAAAGGCGCGGAATTGCCTCCAGATGGCTTCACTAAGCAGCTGATGGGACCTGCATTTGAGCTGTTCGTGAATCAGATAGCCATGAAAAAGGCTAGATGCTATCACCTCACACAACTTTGACTTTGACTTTGCGCCTGCATGTCCGAAGCCAGCCCATTCAGGGCGCAGGCGGGGTGAGAAAGGAAGGAAAACATATTTACAACCAGCGGCCGGGCCTCAGAGGCAGAATCCCACGAAGTCATCCATCAAACCGTGCCAGAAGTCAAGGTCAGACGCTGCAGATTGCCAAGGGCCCAAATTATAATGGCGGCAAAATTCTTCCAATTTGCTTTCCCATGTGAAAAAGGGACGACCCAGTTTCTTCCGGCCACACGGTTTCAAATCTAAAAGTCTTCGGACCCAACGATCTTCAGGTAGATGCGCCACATACCCGGCAAACGTCCAATAATGGCGAAGTGCCACGAACCCCCAATCCAGAACGCAATGTCTGTCTGCAGGGCGACGTGCTCTCTCATTCCACTCACGCAGGACTTCGTGCCAGGGTGCTTCCCAACAATGTTTTGCGGAGGGCCAACAATTGACCGCAACAATTTCCGAAATTCAACATTCATTGCTTGCAAGTCTTGTGACCGCACCATCCTGTATCCAGAGGCAAAGCAAGCGACCGGAGTGACAACAGACTGGAAGAAACGCAAGCGTGCCCCAAGGGACACGTTCTTGTCACGCAGAACCCATCGGTTTGCAAAAAAGGCTTTGGCAGCCTGAGTCAAATGGAACCGTACATCTTGACAATGCTGTTTGGATCTTCCTGCTGTGAACATGCATCCTAACCACCTGTGACAAGCATCACGGTCCACAATTTGCAGCTCAATACCAGTATTGGTTTGCATGACGGATGGAGGTTGGGCTTGCATAGTCAGCACCAATGTTTTGTTGGCATTCAAACGTAAGCCCACATCAGCAAACGATTGTACGAGCGAATCCAACAATGTTGCAGCTTCGGAAAACGACTTTGCAAATAATAACACATCATCCGCGAAGCGTAAGTCAAGCAACGGTCTTAACCCATCGTTGAGATCCACACCGGCATGGCTGTGCTTGAAACGCCAACTTGCCATGGCCCACTCCAATGCGCAACAGAACAGTCGAGGACTTAACACGCACCCTTGTCTCATGCCAGCATGTATATCAAAAGGGCGGCTCGAATTCCAATCGCCGACCACTTCACCAGTTTGATTTGCATACAAGGCTTGCAATATCCAAACCAAGTGTGTGGACACCCAGAACGTCGAGTGAGGGCAATAGCAGCTCAGCAGCCAGAACGTCGAGACGAAGATGATTGGACGATCATGAGGGGCGCATTGGCAGCACTTCTTGCGGCAGTTCTTTTTGTGAGTGGCACTGAGTCGCAGCTAGTAGACCTAGTAGCCTTGGCACTCATGTTGGCAGGAATAACATGGCTGAGAAAGATTCAGAAAAAATGGAATAGGGAAAATGAACCATCCCTGGGGGGACCTGCTCCCAAGGCAGGTGAGACCACCATGAGGGCACGGAATGAACCCATGGTGGGAGATGCAAAAGAAAAGAAAAGATCGGACATGACCAGAAAAAGCGGCGAGGACCCAAAATGAACCCGCCACGGAACCCGATCATCCCAACTGTAGCCCGGAGGGCTCCCACGCCCGCGAGCCATGGTCAAGATGATGAAGGCGGACGGCCCACCACGTGCAAGACCGCACGAGCCATGGTGGCACCCACCATTTCATGTGCCACCTACAGGGACCACAGACCGCTGGCAGGTTGTGGAGAACTTTGCGGTGAGGATCCACTGCAAGATGAGGTACCAGAGGTGTCTTCCAATCCACAGTTCGTATCCTCTACGAGACGAGCAAGTGCTGACAGGCCGCAGGGTCACCATCAGCAGCCCGGCAGACCAACGGAAGACTCGTGGATTGAGCCTCCAACAAAAAAAGATCGGAGCTACTATGTGGGCACACGTCCAGTGAGAGAGTGGGCGAGACAAGAGCATACGTTGCCTCCACATCTGCACATCCCACGGGATATGAGAACGCCCGAAGCGGTGCAGTTGCGCAATCAGCGCATGCAGGAGCCCGTCGGTGCTTGGATGGGAACTGCAACGTCGACAAGGTCATCGGCAAGTACAGATGGACCACAGACTCCAGGCACGAGACCGCCGGTTGGATCGACGGCCAGTGCTTCAACAGCACTGCAACCTGGTGCGGGGACTCGGACAGCGGGGCAAATCGCAAAACTTCCTCCGCCTATGCCGCCCATGGAGAGACGGTCTGGAATCCCAGAAGACCTGAGATTGGCGCTTCAGGCGCTGACAGGGTCGGAGAAGAACTGGGACAGACCACCTGGATCAGATCCCATCTATTGGGTCCAGGTTCGGGGCCGCATGTATCACAGGAACGGCATCATGCGACAGGCGATGACACTGGAACAACATCCAGAAGTAGAAGTTCCTCAACTACAGTTGACCTTGGTGGAAGGCTGCACGGACAATGGCACGCCGTGCTATATTGCAACGGCAACAGCTGAAGCAGGGTCAAGTGGCAGCGGAAAGGTGTCTTCCACATTGCCTACCACCACCACCGACTGGTCAACGCCGGACTCCACGAGAGCGCAAGCACATGGAAGCTTGGGAAGTGCTGCATCGGCCTATTGAGGCTACGCTCGACGAGGAAGTGGTGAACAACACCCGGCTGCGATGGCATCGACCATTGCACCACCGCCAGGCTTGCAGCATGAGGCAATCAATGCCCGTGGAATGCTGATGGAAGCGAACCAGGCCCCATCAGTAAGTGAAGGAGCGGAGATGCCCTACGACTACGACTGGCCGGCGGATGACCGCATTGGCGACCGTCAAGTGAGGGCAATGGAATCGGACAGCGACTTCGAATTGTTGAGTGGGCCTTGAGCTTTCGATTCGCGGCAACAAGCCACGAAGGGGGAGTGTAACGATAGCACTCACATTCTGTGAGCAGAACTAGGCGTGAAATCATGTCGCTTACCGAAGGCCCTTTTTGCACAAGGAAAGGACGTGCGCAGCTTTGCGTGTGTTTGCAGATGTTCATCCTGTTTGTTCTTCTCCTCTGTCCTTGTCAACCCCAAAATGTTCATTAGCAAGCTTTTCACGTTCTCTTATTAGGACTCTATCAAAAGCTTAAAGTGTTCAAGCTCACAAAGGCCCTAACTCCCTCTAGTAGCAAGGCCCCTCCCCTATCAATCAAGCCCACGCTCTGGCCGCCATTTTGTCTTCATCTCTTCCTTAACCATCCCAAACCCCATCTTTCCTCCGCTCTCAGACCTTGATGACCTTGTTGGCCTTGAAGGGGGGGCGTTCATTAATCCGGTGATGGTGGTCACTGAAGTTCAGAGGCATGAACATCATGAACTCCTTGTTCCCGGGGTGGTGAACCGAAAACTACACCAGCATCGACCCCAAACAGCAGCGGCGGTCGGCAAAATCACCTCAGCCCAAGGGACGCAAAGCAAAATCATCTCAGCCCAGCATCCAAGCGTGCCATGGGAGACAAGGGGCGACAAAGGGAGACAAAACAAAATCATGTCAGCCCAGCATCCAGACATGTCATGGGAGACACGGGAACACAAAGAGAGACAAAGGGAGACCATCTCAGCCCAGCATCCAAACATGCGATGGGAGACAGGGGAAGACAAAGAGAGACAAATGGAGATCATCTCAGCCCAGCATCCAAACATGCCATGGGAGACAAGGAGGGACAAAGCAAAGTGATCTCAGCCCAGCATCCAGCCACGCCATGGAAAACAAGGGGAAACAAAGCAAATTCAACTCAGCCCATTATCCAGACATGCCATGGGAGACAAGGGGGACAAGGGGAGACAAAGAGAGACAAATGGAAACGAAGAAAGACTGAGCAAAATCATCTCAGCCCAGCATCCACACACGCCATGGGAGACAAAGGGAGGCAAGGGCACACAAAGTAAAGTCAATTGAGCCTAATCCAGGCACGTCATCGGAGACCAGGGGCGGCAAAGGGATACAAAGAAAAATCATCTCAGCCCAGCATCCACACATTCCAAGGGAGACAAAGCAAAATCATCTCAGCCCAGCATCCAGACATGCCATGGGAGACAAGGGGCGACAAAGGGAGACAAAGCAAACTCATCTCAGCCCAGCATCCAGACATGCCAT